GTTACTGAGTGACAGCGGTAGAAATTCAGAGGCCTTTACACATTCAAATCTACACTTCATCACCTTGGTAAATTCATTATTCTGTAGCATCTGGGACACTTGACTATCTGGTATCAAAGTCCATAGTTCCTTTTCAGTTTTCTGACACATTAGTATTTTTCAATCCCATGGTGAAGTTGAACAAATCCATTCAAAGATTAGGAGATCAAAAGAATGTACCTGTAAATTACAGGCAAATGAGCCAAACGTGGATTTAACTCTTCTGAGCTAAACATTATGACTTGCACCTTGTTTTCATGTTGAATTTCTTTGCTATGTGATAATTTCATTGGCCATATTCTTAAGAAGTAATGAAAGAATGTGAATTATACAGATGATCCCAAATGATTGTGAGCAAAATCCAGCCACTAGGATCTATTATGTATTTATGTCTATCAGGAACAAAAAAATAAAAATAGTTAACTTGTGCAAACTATTTTTCATATACTACCTGCCAAAGTCATGCTACCATAATGGGTCAGGCAGGCCTTGGAATTACAGGAATATCAAACAAAAAATGTAATTACCTTATCTTCAGAGAGGTATGAATTTAGAATCTGATACCTTGTGAATGCCTTGGTTTATGTACAAATGCTATGCTTCACCAGAAAGCATGGAATCCTAGTTCTTCAAAGGGATAAGATACAGATGTTTCTGTGCTGGTAATTCATTGTATAGTAAAATGTCACTGTCCAGAGAACAGTACTTCATACTGAAATTTAATTTCACCTAATTCCCATTAAGAGGGAAAGAAAGAAAGAAATATTTTAATCTCAAAAAAAAAAAAGAATGAAGGAAAAGAGAAAAAGAAAGAAATGGCAGCTGTTTGAAATTTGCTGAGAGGCTTGGAATGTAGCTTTAGTTGAGGTGTGTTAGCAGGCAGAAGGTAAGCAAAGAGGTAAAACTTTCAAAAGAGGTCCATGATACTGTATTTAAATCTGTCATAAGAACACAACTCTCAGGAATGCATTTGAGTGTGATCAAAATTGCGTATACTCATTTGCTTGTGTTGCACAGACAAATACATTTGGGAACCAGGGCTTTAGAGGCAATATTCTTACTGTTCAGATGCCTCAAGCTGAGTCTCTTAGAATTATGCTGATTTTACTTTAGTGCCAGAATATGGTTTCTGTTTTCAAACATACACACTCCACTCCATGTTACTTAGCCTGCATTTGAGAATGGCGTTCACAGACCTGGGATTCGGTACGAAAGTCTACTCCATGGTAAGCTAGGGGTTTCAGAAATGTGATTTACAGCGAGGGGAATGTGTATGCCAGACAATAGAAAACACTGAAGATAAAGATGTTTCTGGAAATGTATTTCTTTTCTGCTTTTAGGAGCTTGGGCACATGGTTTCAGAGCTTCTTGTACCTTCTTGTACTTAGACATCCAGATGTCTTTGTTTCTTCATTTAAACAACATCCAGGGTAGCCTGTGCATTAAGAGAGGAGACAGAACAAAACATAACAAAAGAAATACACACACATACACACACACAAACACACACACACACACACACACACACATGCAAACCCAAAACAAAACAAAAGAAAAAAAATAAAAACCAAGAGGTAGAAAAAATTGATTCAGCACCTTTTTTAGACTGAATTAAATTCATATTTCCACTTCCCAAGAAGTTCCCCACGTACAAGACTAGAAGAGAGGATGAAAAAAGTAAAGCTTCTCACTCCTTTTGTAACTATGACTCAATGTAGAAAAATATGTGCAATTTGTAATCTTGATTTAAGCAGAGTGTTAAACATGATTTCATAGCTCAAGGATGGAGGCACTTACCTACTGAGGGAAGGAGGAGGAGAAGCAACCTGGATTCTGGCCCCTGCTTCAAACATTATTTATGTATGTTACTCAATTGCAAATGCAAAATGTGTAGGCAGCCCCTGGGGCAATAACCCAGGACTTCCTCTTCAAAAGGAGCACCTATTAGGGTTGCAAATTATCCTCTCTCCATGAATATTGCTTCCTGTCCAATACAGAAGTATGGTTTCAGCAGGCATGACAGACAGTTCTCCAGCCTGAGATTCACCTTGAGTTGGTGCTGGATGCACTCTTGGGAGATGTGGGAAAGATCTCCTCAGAGAGAGACTGGCAGTGAACCTATATCTCCCACTTCAAGGGCAAATGCTTTATCTACAAGTATGATGTTATGTAAAATGTTGGCAGTTGTGCATCCACCTCTGGACATGTTTCTGGGAGAAAGTCTCTGAGGCTGTTGTGCTTCATGATGAGGCTTCATGATGTACGTTAGGCATGCTCAGAAGATACTTCATTAAGCCTTTCAGGCAATGCCACACCTGCACATCACAAGCAGGCTATGGTGCAAGGTAGGTTTCAAGATTTTCAGCTATATAGAAATAGCAGGAGCAATGAGAGATGCAGTATCAGAACTTAGATAATTTTATCAGCAAAAACATGATGTAGATTTTTGTGACATGTGTAGATTTAGCGTACATGTATGTACACGTGTAATTATACCTTCCTGGCATTTTTTTCCTTTTTTGAATTTATTTCCCCAAGTTATTTTGTCAACTAGTAGCAAGACATAAAATTAGAACTCAGCAATCCTGCCATGCTACAGTCTCTTTATAAGACATGTAAATATATTTACAATTAAAACCAGTATCTTAATGTTTTTGTTTTGTTGGAAATTAAGTAGCTGGCACCAAACTGAACTTAAGAAAGATCTTCTCTGATAGTCACCATATCTATTAAACATGTTGTTTCTATGTCATTGTCATGTATTAGTTCCTCGAGAGACTTTCCAATAGATTCTTTTTCCATACCTTTGTTCTCCTGGCCCCTGTTCTCTTTTATTCTGGGTTCTTTTCCCCCAGGAGATCAAAATCCTACTCCCTTTGCTCCTCTCATCATGATCTTTCTTCCAAAGAGACTACTTGTCTAAATGACATAACAGGAGAATAAAGGGCAAAATTTTTTTGCTATTATTTTGAATACAATATTATAAATGCATGCTTGCATTTTTTATATATTCAGAGATGAATAAATTATGCTTGCTTTAGGTAATCTAAACAACCCATAACAAATTAGAGTTTCCTATAAAGTGGGAAATATACGGAAGACTACAGCAGGAAGATCCTTTAAATATGATTTTTATTTAAACTAAAGGATGAATCAACTATTCTCAGACCTCAGCTCAACAAAGTACTTAAAATATCATTGAATAAAGTGCTTAAGTATCTTTTTAAGTTTTATGGAGTATGATAGAGAGTTTTTTTTAGTGGGGCCTTATTTGTGAGAATAGCATGACTCAGGTAGCATAAAACAGGATTTTGATCCCTGCTGTACTTATGCTGGTTTCCTCTCCTCAGTTCATTGTATTAGTAGGCAGTCTTAAAGGTGTGTCCAGTCTAAATATAGGTTGACCAAAAAGAACTTCTGAATTAAACTTCCTTTTGGGAGAAAAATAATTTCCAAGTGATAGTGTGCTCTTAGATGGTTTGTTGGTCTGGGGTTTTTTTGTTTTTGTTTTTTTTTTGTTTGGTTGGTTGGTTTGTCTTTTCTGCATCTTGAATTTGGGCAAGTAGACCCTGTTTTGCTTTTTCTATTGGTCATCTAAATTAACCTGCAGTATAGCAAAAATTCAAATGCATATTCAAAACCTCCTAGAAATATGAAAGTAAAAAAGGACCAAGAAACATGTGTGTCATCGACACACTGGAGGGAGAGGATACCATCCAGAGGGACCTTGACAGACTTGACAGGTGGGCCAATGCAAACTTCATGAAGTTCTACAAAGCACAGTGCAAGGTCCTACACCTAGGTCAGGGTAATCCCAGACACATCTACAGGTTAGGGGGAGAAAAGATTGAGAGCAGCCCTGTGGAGAAGGACTTGGGCATGATGGTTGATGTAAAACTCAACATGAGCTGGCAATGTGTGCTCACAGCCTAGAAAGCCAACGAAATCCTGGGCTGCATCAAAAGCAGCATGGCCAGCAGGTCAAAGGGAGGTGATTTTACCCCTCTTTTCTGCTCTTCTGAGACCCCACCTGGAGTACTGCATCCAGCTCTGGTGACTCCAACATGAGAAGGACATGGAACTGTTGGAATAAGTCCAGAGGAGGGCCAATGTCATTGATAAGTGGACTGGAGCCCCTCCCCTATGAAGACAGGCTGAGAAAGTTGGGGCTGTTCAGACTGGAGAAGAGAAGGTTGCGTGGAGACCTCATTGCACCTTCCAGTATATGAAGGGGGCCTACAGGAAAGCCAGAGAGGGACTCTGAATCAGGAACTGTAGTGATTGAACAAGGAGTAATGGGTACAAACTGAAAGAGGGGAAATTTATATTAAACATACAGAAGAGACTATCTACTGTAAGGGTGGTGAGAGACATGGGAAGGTGTTGCCTGGACAAGTTGTGCATGCCCTACCTCTGGAACTGTTCAAGGCCAAGCTGGATGGGGCTCTGAGCAACCTGGTCTAGTGAAACGTGCTCCTGCCCATGTCAGGGGGATTGGAACAAGATAATCTTTATGGTTCCTTCTAACCCAAACCGTTCTATGAATCTATGAAAATGCCTGAAGACATTGTGGATGGCCCATCCTTGGAAGTGTTCAAGGATAAGTTGGATGGAGCTCTGAGCAACCTGGTCTAGTGGAATGTATCCCTGCCCATGGCAGGAGGGTTGGAACTTAATGATCTGTAAGTTCCCTTCCAACCCAAACCATTCTGTGATTCTATGAAATGACAAACTTTTTATGTGGAAGACTGAGAGAAGAACAAAAATGACAAATCTCTTCTACTCTATCATTGTAATTAGACTTAAAATTAAATAGTAATGAACTGGAGACATTGCTCCTATCTGAAAAAAGGGTTTCTTTTATCAGTGTGAGCCAAGAGCTGTCACCTTAACACCTGTTGCATGGTGCACAAGACTCTGGAGGACAGAACCCTTTAGAATGAAAGACCGAGGACTGCATGTAGGGAAAATTCCACTTTTTATTTTTTCACTCATCATTTATTTACAAATACACATTATAACTTTTATATACATTGCACATTTACATGGTAGAAAAGTACAAAACTATATATTTAAATGAATTTATATTTAACTCGCCATGTTTGAAAATATAAAATTGCATCAGAAAAAAAGTATTATGAAAAGCAAGAAACTTGAACTGATAAAGCTTTGATAAAACTTTTAGCAACACACCGATTGGGAAAAGAAAACTTTGAAAGTGGTACTGCAAGACCATCTTAAAGGAAACACCTGATAAAACACTTATGCATGTTACAAAAAAAAAACAACCAGTAAAAATAAAATAAACCCCGTATTCTTATTACAGTTATTCCTGTAGCTGTTATCGACTTTCATAATCCAAGATCTTCAGATATGGAATTTGTATAGCACAGTATAAACTCTCAATACATTGAAATTACTTCAGTATATGTGATCAGAAGTAGAGAAAAATTAAGGGGAAGAAGTTTCCTTAAAAATCACCCCACCACACCCTGAAAGTATACTTAAGTCAATTACAATGCCTTTTGGTCAGTCAAGATTCCTTGTAAACAAGAACACAGGGATCTTTAATGTACAGAACCAGCAAGAAGAAAATCCAATAAATAAACATAACAGAAACTGACATGCAAGTTTGTTAAAGTAGAAGTTAACATCAGTGAAACGAAGAGATGACATCATGTGGGTAGACTCTAAGGAATAGTTATAGTTTACAAGAAAAAAGAAAAGCTTTAATTTACAAGCAAGAGACCTCACAATAAATAACACTGCTCTTCCCGTAACGAATAAATTTCTTCAAAAAACAAGGTGTACAGTCAACAAGACATTTTATGTATAAATTATAAAACATGACACAGTATAAATAAATGTCTACGAGACTCAACTATATGTATACTTTTTTTTTCTCCCCAAAATAAATAAGCATACACTTATTTACAGTATGGACATTGATTTTTGTGCCCAATGGCTGTTTCAATAGTGATGGAAGTTTTACCATTCTAGAAAGGAAGATATAGGAAAGCTGTAGTCCTGGTCTTCATCTTCCTCTTCATCTTCTGGGTCTTCATTAATGGCTAGATGGGGGAATATAGGGGAGCTGTTGTTTAAATAAGGACAACAACAGCGCAGAAGCAGCTCAGTGCATGTTTTCAAAGCCCTCTGAACAGCCATAATACAGCGTTGCATTTTATGCGACTTGTAGTGAGATGCTCTTTGGCATCTGCTGTTATGAAATAAGGTTTTTTATATGTAATCTATGAAGTCATAACTGCAGAAAGTTCTGAAGAATCAATGGCTCAGGTTTTATTGGCAGATTCCTGATATCAAATACAGAGCGCTCAGGTGTTCTAGGTTTAATTGCTTTGTGTCCTTCATTCAGAGTTAGTAGAGGCAACTGTGCTAAACCAGATGCCCCTGTGCTACCTTTAAGCTTGTTCTTTTGGACCGAGTTAAGAGTTTATCCAGATGTTAATAAAGCAATCAGCAAAGCACACGAGAGCAGACAAAGTACAAAAAAGTCACTAGAATTACAATCCTCGGGCAACACCTTTCTGATAGAATGGCTTGTCCTTGGAACATCCCCAAAACTCCAACTTGAAGGCCAGCTCGTTGTTGGAGATCTATTGCATTTTATCAGCAACAAAAATGTGTGCGTGATAGATAGATACTTATACTCTACTGTACCTTGAATCAATAAATCAAACTTTCTTATGTTTAAAGGTGTAAGTCTTCATTACCTAGGTATCGCCTTCAGAAGCTTTAAGTGTCTGCAGAGCTAAAAATCTCACTTACAGTTGCAAGATCCAGAGTGCTTTACTTCTAGAAGCACACCCATTGAGCAGGCTGCCTCTTTCATGGCACACTCGCTTGGGTAAGTTGTGTTATCACTGGCACAGACTGCCTCTTCTGACTTGCTTTCGGGGCAGAGCTCATCGCAGAGAGCGCACCGACCTCTACCAACCTTAAAATCCCACAGGCATTTCTTCCCAGCAGTGCACTGAATGTCTTCACAGGATTTGGCTTCTAAAAATACACACAGGATACTAGGGGTAAGTGAAAAGACAAAGCAAAAAGGAAAACAATGACCAGCAACCCCCAAAACCCCCTTTCCCCTGTGAACTGTGAAGAAACAAAGCTCAGATGTAGTGGATGTGATGACACTTGCTGATTTTGCTCAAGCAAGTATTCCCTTGGACAACATTACCTGTCTATATATGGGGGAGGAAAGACAGCTGTGCCAGCAAAGTTTTGCCCTGGGAATACAGAATTACATTTGCCTATTGTACATGACTTTCCTCCTCCATTTGATGTCAGTGGAAATTCAGCTCCCTAAATTAGCGGTAAATTCAAGATTTGTCAACAGGTCCAGCATTTCTAAATCTATTATTTTTAAACTAACCCACAGAGAATAGTTGTCTACAAGATTTGAAAGGGAATTCACCTCAACCTATGCCAACTAAAAGCAACCTGAGACTCCCCTGAATTACCCCAGCAGTTTTGGGGAGCAGAGGCTGCCCTGCAGGTGCTTCATTGTAACATGCTGCACTATCAGTCATTTCTGGAAACCACAAGACAGAATGTCAGGGTACACAGAGATTATTTTCCTATCTTCACCCACCAACTGTCTCTAAACTCCACAATTATTTCTAAAGAGGAAAAAGCAATCAGATGTTTCCAATTAAATGAACATAATCTTTGCCAAGACCACTTGAAGACAATTGTTTCCAGGAATCCAGACCCACTGGATACCGAGACCTTGTTATATAACCATGTCATCATCTATTTCATGGCAGCTGCTTCTCCCTTGGATACTAATGTCAGCACCCATAGCCATAGCAGGATCGGGCCCTCTTCTCCCTCATCTTTTTTGCTATCTTTTCCAGGAAAAAGTTCACCCTGTCTCTCCTCTTTCTAGAGGGTAGTACTAACCCAGGTTACTGGAAGTCTCTCTTCCTCACCCGCACTAACTACATCCATCCAGTTGCACACACTGAATACTCTGAAACAGGTGACTGAAGAAATTCCCCCCATCCTTACCCTCCCACCAAGATACGTACTGATGCATTTTCCTTCGTACGCTAATCCAATGGATCTGCCCAGCAAGCAGGTGGCTTTTCTCAGGTGGCAGGCACTGGCGTAAGTTATGCCATCATTCCCACAGAGATACTGTTCAGGGGAGGTAGGCTCTGGACAAATTCGATTACATGTCACACAGTAGGCATTGTTGGTTTGGTCAACCACACACGTGGAGCTGCCTGGGCACAAGACATCCCTGCAGGTCTCTGAAATGCAGACAGAAACACACAATGGTTAGTAAAATATACCGTAGTCCCAATGAGGAGTAAATAGGTGACACAAAGAAACAAATGATCAGATAAAAGCCTTTAGCAGCTCTCATTTAAAGGGCCACTGGAGGAAGTCTTCCCATCTCAGGGTAGCTGGTGGGACACAAATGCTGACAGACTATGAGGAACTCTCAATTCATTACATCCTTGTCTGTTGAGCATGGTCTAGTTATTGTCTCCTAACCCTTGGAACATTACTCTGGTTTCTGTGGGGAAGTACATTCAACATCTCCTCCACCCTACAGTCAGACACACATCCTTTGGCATTTGAGGGAGATTGGATTAGATTTGCAAACCTACTTTTGCATTTGCCCTGATACTGGACTTCAAGTTCGGGCTGTTCTTTACATCTGGCTTTGAGAAGGGCACACTCGTTCCTGTAGGTTTTCCCATCTAAGCCACACACGGGGCCCTTCCAAGTGATATTAGAGCAATCCGGAGCACAAACACACCGAGGTTTGTTCTTCTTATTCATTTTACATTTCTTCCCGGGTCCACAGTCCACATTCTCACATGTTTCTGATGGAAGGAAAGAGGCACCACTTTAGTACCTAGTGTGCAGAACAGACCTGGTGTCAAAACTTCTTAAAGAAAAAAAAGACACCGTGAACCCAGAGCACAGAGGGCGAACACCTTTCCCCACCCCCATCCAGAAAACACTACTCGGGAAGAAAGCGGGAGGAACGCGCTGCCCCACCTCCCAGTTCTCTCCCCGCTCCTCCTCCCCCCAGCCCAGCCCCTGCGTGAGCCGCTCCTCAGCTCGGAGCAGCTCGCCAGCACCCCCTCACCTTTGCATGGGATGCAGTTTGGGGCTCCCCCATTAAAAATCATCCACTTAAAAAGCGTGTTGTCGTTGACGTCCTCCGCCGTCCAGGACGTGGTCAGGCGGCCGCTCTTGCAGCACTCCTCCTTGCTGAGGTCGGTTTTGTAGAGGACCTGGCAGCGCCCGTTCCGCGCCTGCCGGAGCCAGCAGTTCCCAGCTGCGGGGCGGGGGGCAGGAGGGACACCCAGACGGATCAGTGGCGGCCACCAGTGACCCAGACACAGCACGTGCGCCTTGCCGTGACTTTTACTAGACTGTTTCCTTTTATTTGTCCGGTTCATAACCCGCAGCTACTACGGCCCATTTGGAAGCGCAGTTTAAAAAAGAAATATACAGATGCTCCCTCTCCCCTTCCCCCCCAAAAAACCTCAAACAACCAAACAAAAAAATTCCCCCAAACCCACAAAAGAACAAACAAACAAAAAAATACCCCCAACACACACACACACAAAAACCCTCGAACCCTAAACAAAACAAACTAAAAGAAAGAAAAGACCCAACCAAAACAGGACGAGACAGTTTTCCGAGATATTTATTCCATATGTAGAGCAGAAGGAGCACTGTCGACACGTGACAGAGGCTTGAAAAGGATGTGCATTTAAAAGGGAATAAAAAGAAAATCGCACTTGCAAATTCCTTCCTCCTCCCCCTGTCCTCTCCTCCTCACCGCGGCTGCACAGCAGCATTGTTTTAGTGCCGCACAGTTTCAAGTCCCAGCCCATTTTGCAAGCTGCACGAACTGGGAACATTTGCTGTTAGAGAAGTCTTTCGAAATCCCCACATTTTGCTGCTTCTATTAACAAATGTCTTTCCTTCACTAAATTAAGTCAGCAGAGTTCCAAAAAAAAAAAAAAAAAAAAAGGTGAGCAAAGTACATAAAATACAAGGTCACTTTGAGTAGGAGGTCCCTACAGAGTTTTAAAAATCGATTAAGCTGGAAAAGTTCTAAATACCACCTCTCCTGCAAGCATTTTAGAGGAAAGTACACTGTCTTTACACGGGATAGAGTGGCTTTTGTTGCGGTTATTCCCCCCCCCCCCCAGTATCCCTGTTATTTGTGGAGTCAAGCCAAGACTATTAGTCCAAGCAACTCCCTCTTTTTTAGCTGGAGCATTTTGGTTGGGATGAGTCTCTCGTGAATAGCCAATGTGACTTCTCCAGCAACTCAATACCAATTGATTCTGCTGCTAATCTAGCCAGGGCTCGATCCTGTTTCCTTACTCCGATAGGAATGTACCGCAGCGAGGGGTCAGGATCGACTAGCCGAGATGTCGCTGGGCGCGGGGGAAGACCCCCCCCTCGCTAAAAACCATCGAACAAACAACGCCCTTAAAAAAAAATATTTCGTGTCTCAGAGTTGCCTACATTAGATTAACTTATGCTCCATATCGGTAGTGGGGGAGATAAAAAATAAAAGGAAAACAATAGAAAACAAACAACGGTAAGACATCCAGGTTGTGGTTGGAACGCGGTCAAGATAAGGGAAAAAGCCCCAAAACTGAAAATCAATATTCTCTTGTGTCGAAAGAGGGCTCTTAAGAGTTGTCAATATCAGGTTCGAGTTTGTTTTGTTCGCACGGTGAAGAAAAAAAATAAACCACCAACTTATTAAAGCACTCTCTTCAGTGCAGGAGAATTTACAATGCTAATATTTATTCACACACACACACACACACACACACGAAGTAGGGAGGGGTAGGAAATCCCAGTATTAAAGGAATGTCAGTAAAATGACCACTTATTGGTTTCTAAAAATGTCAGCTGTAATCGTGGGGTTCTCCATCACCACCTCTCCTTCAGTCAGTCAGTCAGTCAGACGAGATAAAAATCTGAGCTAAATTACCAGCAAACTTTGAGCAGTCATTCGGGAGCCGAGATTGGGAAAGTTCCCTCGCGATGCTGCTCTTCATTCATGCTGCATAATAACAATAATTACCAAGAAACATCCTATCTCTCCTCTGTGCCTGTGCAGAGCAGTGCGAAGATCCGATTAAAAAGGGATCTAAATGACACCTCTGCACCTCGGTATAAAGCAATCACATGCCCACGGTTAACTTCTGTTCTGTTGGACCTTGGAGAGAGGCGTTTAACACCGCAAGCAAACTAAACCGTGCCCGAAAGAGAGAGAACAATAGTAATAATAAAGAAACATATCTGCGAATAAACAATCTGGTCTTACCCTGCACTGTGTGATCTTCCATGAAGTGGCACAGAAATATCAGAAGTAAGAGCATGCCCGGGTGGATTTTCTGATTTAACATCCTCAGTATAGCAGCGAGTGAGCGAGACGTAGAGAGAGCGTGAGGGGGAGTATAGAGAGGGAGCGAGCACTAGCCAGCCTGCTTATGATCGCTCTATTGAATGAACGTCAGGCTCTGAATGCAGTCTCTCTTTAAATCTATACGGGGGTCCTAGCTGTCTGCGGTGGGCGGTCTCCTAATGTGTGTGTGTGTCTGCTCGGGGGTGGGGAGATTTAAAAAGTTCAGTGTGAATCAGGTGACATTTTCCACCTTCTGCAAACCCTCTCCAATTATCCGCTCTAGGTGCACGAACACACAGGCGCGCACCCGCGTAGCCCCGCGCCGCAGAGTCACCGACGGGGACAGCGGCGAGAGGCGGCTCCGTCCGCGGCAGCGCCAGCGCCGAGGGGGGCTGGAGACGCGCGAGGGGTCGCGGCCGCCCGAGGGGGACCCCTGGTTCCCCCTTGACGGGCCGAGGGTGTTGACGGAGCGCGGAGCGGCTCCTGCCCTCCCGGAGTGGGCTCCGCGGGCGCGGAGTGGCCGAGGAGGATCCATCCCGCTCCCCGCGCGTCCAGCGGGAGGAAGGCGGTTGGCGGGCGGACTGCTCGCTCGGCCCAAAGAAACCCTAAACTACGACCGGCCAACTCCAAACCTGAAAAAAACAAACAAACAAACAAAAAAACCCCAACAAAACCAAAAGACAGAACCGACTAAAACTTTAATACCTAGGGCCGTGCCCGACTGACAGGCTTTGCACTGGGAGAGCCCAGGAGGACGAGACGAGAACGGGGGCGACGTAGGCGGTCTCCTTTCAGATTCAGAAAAGATTGCAACATCGATAATGAACTTCTGGGGCACTAGTTTGTTAAGCACAGTCTTGCATTATTCTCTCCTTAGAAAAGTTGGCGGTCTCTCATTTATAACATTTTTTGGCACCGCTGAATGAAACTGAGTAGGCGATATTTCCTTTTATACAAAACGATTACTTAACGGAAAATGGTATTGTTTATTCAAAAGCTGCCTTTTAAATTTCGATTCTTTCGCTTTTCTGAGCCACCAAAGCACAACAGACTGAGAAGTATGCAGACAGGAATGCCCGGACAGTGCCGGGTCAGGGGCCGGTGCGCCGCGGCAGCCCGCGTCCTCCGCCCAACCCTCCTCACACCCCTCCTCCCCGCTCCCGCCCCCTGCCACCCCCTCCCGACCGCCCCCTCCCCACAACTGCAAATAACTCAGTGATAACAGATTTTTTTCCACCAACTGCAGGAGATAGTGCTAATCTTTTAATAAAAGATCCTATTACAATGGGATCTGTCTGGACAGACCATAATAGATCCAGAAATACAGCCGTGCTAATATTAGAAGACAGTTGTTTGGGTGCCTCAGGCCGGGCCCTGGTCCCGCTTTGAAAGTGGGCATGAATCACAATGTCCCTCGGTACCACCTGCGGTCACACGCATTAAGGAGCAGACTGGTAAATGATTGACCTCGCTGCATTTTTTTTTTGTTATTATTATTATGATCCTGGTCCTGAGCATCGCCCGGGCATTTTGAGCACTTCAGAAGCTCCAGGACTCCACATCCTTTTTAATCTCTTCCCAAATTGGTGCCACTCTCCCCTGCCCCCCGCCTCTCCCTGCCGGCTGCAGGGGCCGCGCTCATGCGGGAGCGCGTAGTGCCCTCTAACGGCGGCCACGCGCACCTCCCGCACCGGGCGCCGCGGACCCCCGGACCACCTCTGCACACGCAGGGGACGGATCCCGGGAGCAAGATGCACCGAGGGACATGTCCCCCCGACCCTCACCGGGGGCACGACTCGGCCGAGTGGCGGGGGTCAGCGGGCTGGACTTGGGGCTCGCCGAGGCGGGGCTGCGGGGGCCCGTCTGCCTTCGTCGCCCCCTCCCGGGCACCCCTCTCGCGGTCCCGCCACGACCGGCCCCGCGGAGCTCCGTCCACCGCCGCTGCACAGCCCGGGGCAGCGTCGTAGCCTAGGGGTGTCCCGGGGGATGTCCTGGGAAGCACCCAGGGGGATCCCGTTGGCAGAACGGGGCGCGCAGTCGGCTGTTCCCCTGCGGTGCCGGGAGTGCTGAGGGGTCAGGCTCACCTTCCCGTGCTCAGTTTGTGTACGTTTTTAATAATTGGCCAACACCGTGTTTATCCTGCTAGTGTTTTCAATTATAGAGAGGCGTTTTCAGGCCATGTTCCTGGAAATGAAATGCTGGACGGGTCGATAAGGTTTGCACATGTGCTTCATGCGTGCATCATCAGGAGATCAATATGATTGCGCTGGTGTGGAGATTTGTATCACACCTGTCCTCTGACATCACATAAAAACAGCTGCTCTTTCTTTTTTTTTTCTTCTTTTTTTTTTGTTTGTTTTTTAAAATGCTGAATATTGGTTGTGTGAGTAAGAACACGTCAGGCATATATTGTATAGTCAGAAATGCTTTCTACTATCTCACTGTGTGTCTCCCTTTATGAATCCCTCCATCCCTATCTGCTTTGTCAAAAATCATATTTAAATTACTAAAAAACCAATAGGGTCGATCTGTAACTGAACTGTCAGGCAGCACACAATAAGACTGCTGTCTTTAGTCTGACAGGTTTTAAAACTTCTTACTACTGAGAAGTGTATGCATTTTAATACAGGGTTTTGGATTTGTATCCAATCTTTGCAGCTGGCCTTGATCTTAGAATAATAAGCATTTAAGAAAACCCCACTTATACTAACATCTCAAACTTTCAGAAAATTCAGCTTTGGCTCTCAATTTACATAAAATATATTTGTGTTCTATGTCCTACTTCTTATATAGCTATAGCTACAGCAGACTCCATAATCCAAAATATTAAGTGGCTGGCTTCTGAAGAAAATTGCAGCAAAATACTGAGAAGGAATAAAATTATCTGCAAGTGTAACCTTGGGTTAACATATGCTATTAACACACACACACATATATATCTACACACATACATACACATACATACATATACCTATGGGGAATATTTATTTTGTGATAAGCCAGTATTCACTGTACTAGTATAATTTATTTCCGTTTATTCCTTTCCCCTCACTGTGCTGCCTCTCAACAGAAGAGAAGTTTCTTTTATCGAGAATGGACCAGCTCAGAACCCTCTCTTTGATAGGGAGAATACCTGCAATAAAGTTTTTCGAGGATGTGGATAGGACTCCAGGCTGATTCCAAACCTGATTTGGCTGATTCCAAAACTGGTTCTTTGGAAGGGATCTAGATTTTGAACAAAGGAAAATGTAAAGACCTATTCTGAGCAGAAAAAGACACAAACACCATCCTGTGGTCCTGGGTGTATGTATGCATAATCCCATGCCATTTCTCACAAAACTGACCTCTACCACAGAGCAAGTACTCAAATAAAGGTAGAACGTCCTCTTCTGGTAGAAGAGAAGACTTGTTACCCTCCTTTGTTGCCATCTAATTATCACAAAAAGAACAGCCTGTTCCTGGAAAACTCTGCTTTTATGAAGGTTCCCCTCATTTTCCTCTCAGAGATCAGATTTAAGGACTTCTCTGAGTACAATTGCATTGTTCCACTTGAAAAATTTCCCCTCCATCTCCCCCCACCTTTTTTTTTAAGTGTAGGACAATACAATTCTTCAACAACCTTTTCTGCAGAAATTTCATGCACTTTTTCTCAGCATAAAGTATAGAAAAATTGTATTACGAAAGTTCGCTTCTTAATTTGACCAAGACTTTTCCATGAAAACCAAACAAACTAATTCCCAATAAAACTAAGCTCTAAAATAT